AAGAGCGGATAGATGGTTGGCACGCATGTGCGGGCATACCAACCACTTCACTACACTTAGAATAGATAAAAAAATTTTAAAAAATATAAATTGTATAATAATTAAAATAAAAATTAGAGTGTAATCAATCTTAACAAAATACATGTACGAAAAAGTTCGCATGTGACTTCAACTAATGTACAATTAATATTTATGTCTCTACGCGTATTTGTAAAAAAATTGAAATATGGCTCTTACGTGTTACAATTTTTTTAAGTGACTTTGTAAAACAAAGGGCGAGAGATTTATTTTTATTTCTTATTCATATTGTTTCATCTTATTATAATTTATTCTTTCGTTGTTCGGTTATTTTTCAATTCATTTATGATCTCAAAATTTTAATATACAATGAAAATAAATTTATGTGTATATATATATATATTAATATGATAGAAAATTTTATTTTTATTTAAAATATGATAAAAGATAAGATGAGATGATAAAATAAGTTATGTACATTTTAGAAAACAACAATAAAAAATGATAAAAGTTATAGAAAAATATATGGTCCTATTAATATTATAAAATAATAATTAGTATATGCTTTATTCATTTAGTAAATGTTAGTTTGAAAAGAAAATTTAAAATTACGTTTTTAAAAAAATTTAATAAAAGTTAATTATTTTTTATTATTTTTAACATTTTATTCTTTAAATTATTTTTATCATGATTGTTGTATTATTTAATAATTTTTTTATTTAAAACTTGTGTAGATGTTATTAATATATTTTGTAAATTAATAAATTTCCGAAATAAAAATATATCATACTTAAAATATTATTAATAAATAAAATTTTTACAATTCCATTGAATAATTTAATATTATTATTTTTTATATGAATTATAATATATATATATATATATTGTTGAAAAAAAATCGTAATTATATTTTATGAAATTATGAATATATGTGAAAATTGAAATTATCAATAGCTTTTATTTTTGGTTAATTTGAATTTGTTAATTTTAGTGTTATAAATATTATTTAGTTTATTTATGTTTTAATTCCATAATTTCTATAATTTTAATTCAACCAATCAAAACATTCCGTTTATTTTAGGAAGTTTGACATGTCACATTTACATGTCATCAATTAGAAGCAATAACTTTGGATGTAGTGTTGACAAGTAAGCTATTTTCAATAATATTATTTCTCAAATAATATGTATTGGATATCATAACAAATTGTACACTTATGTCTTCAAAAATATATTTAAAAAATGAATCAAGATTTAAGAGTATCTATGTCAGTAGAAAAAAGAAAGAAAAGCAGACCTTGAACTCTTCAATGGTGTTTGTGTTTGTCGACAATTAACTTAAAAATGTTCATATATATATTAGTAGTTATTTAAAAAAATATAAAATAAAATCTAAAATTAAGATTATATGAACAACTTTGTGTGAATAATTCAAATAGCAACAAATATCTTCAACTAACTTCAAAAATATTTTCTCAACAAAAATTTGTGAAAGTAAAAATTGAAAAAAAATTCTCTACCAACCTTATTTTTTTGTAAATACACATAACCTAATAATTTGCGATGATTTCATGAACCTCATTTTCTTCTTCTTTTTTCGACAACCAAGCCACATCCTTTTTAGTTGTTCGAGTTTTTTTTAAATAATAGAAAATCAAATTGAGAAAAAATATGATAACTCAATTTGTAAATCATCACTTTTTCTTTGATTTAGCATTAATTTTTTATTTAGCAATTTAACAAATTGATAACTCAAAATTTTACATGAGACATAACTCATCATAACTAAAACTTAAGATCAAAAAATCAAATTAACACTTGATTGGTAATATTTTTGAGTTAGGCTCTTAACTCAAACTTAATCACTGCTAACTCATGTCACCAATGTCTACTTCACACAATCTTATAGGCTCCGACTCGTGACATGTCATTTTAAAATTGAGTTACGGATGATGTTATAATTCGATGTAAGTTGCAGTAAATTTATGTGGTAAAAACAGTAGATTTATGTGGTAAGTTTGCTGTAGAAATCCGAGTTAATATTTTTGTTAAAATAGATGACTGGTAATTTTTTTAATGTATAAGTTGCAGTATATATTATTTAATATAAAATTAAATGATTGATAATAATAATAATGTTTATTATAAATTAAAATAATATAATCAATTAAAAATTAATACTAACATAAAAATCATCAAACTAAATAAATGATTTTTGATAATAATAAGGAATCATAAACTCCTAAAGTGAATTACAAATCTGATTTGCAATCTGGTCTCGTATGTTATTCATATATTGGCCATCGGTTGTTGCCTCTTCTTCTTCGAGTCTGTTAAGCTCTTCTTTCTGAAATTGTTGTCTATGATTGTCTCGACTACTAGTATCTTCTTCAAAATCAGCATCTGGAATTCTATAAATTCTCGCAAAATTGTGAAGAACCATAGTAGCATGCACAATTCTATTTTGTGTCTTGACGTCGTACCAAGGCAGATTGTCTAAGATTCTCCATTTCTTCTTCTAAACTCCAAATGTTCGTTCGATTACCGAATGAAGTGATGCATGCCACCTATTGAACAATTCTTTTTTATTCCTAAGAGGACCCTCATCAAATTCTGAAAGATGATACCTGATCTATTATCTGATGTTTCCTCTATATGGAGCTAGAAATCCTCGCCTGTTTGCATATCCAGAATCAACAAGATAGTATTCACCCTTAGGAGATTTGGGGAATAGAGAATCTCCATCTATTGCATAATGTAATACTAACAAATCATGTGTAGACCCAGATGCGCCTAGCCATGCATACGTGAAGACCATGTTTATATCACATATGCCCATTATGTTTAGGCTTGTTTGTCCATGCCTATCCCAATACCCAACAACATCAGAACCTCCAACTTTAACTCTGACATGCATCCCGTCAAATGCCCCAACAAATCCACCTAAAAAGCCAATATTTTGAATCTCGTCACTTATGTGGATAATGCTGGAGTGACGCTTCTGTTGGAGTTTTTAAGTAATCAGATGCAAGACTCTCCACTGCATTTAATACTGTGTGAAACTTTCAGTAGACAGTCTCTTGGGAACGACCAAACGAGTACCCAAGATAACGTTGTGTAGAAAGAAGAAAGAAAAGAAAATCAAATTGAGAAAAATATGATAACTCAATTTGTAAATCATCACTTTTTCTTTAATTTAGCATTAACTTTTGACTTAGCAATTTAACAAATAGATAACTCAAAATTTTACATCAATCATAACTTATCATAACTAAAACTTTAAATCAAAAAATTAAATTTAACACTTGATTGGTAAAATTTTTGAATTAAACTCTTAACTCAAACTTAATCAGTGCTAACTCATATCACCAATAGTTTAATCCCAATAAATTAAATCGCTGGATTCAAACCAAATTCAATCTATTGATTAAATGTGGCAATAGAGTAGTATCACAACGTAATTTAACTATATTGCCACATATCAATCAGAAACAATGAACACACACATATATATAATAATTTAAAATAAATATAGATTATGTCCTCAAACATCCGTGCAATATAAGGTATAAACTATACACGGTCATTGTTAACCTTTTGTTGGTAGATAGAATCATTTGGGGATAAAACTAGATAGAATCTTTTGCCTTTAACTTCCATCAATAGTTTATTCAACATTTTCAATTCGAAAGTCGTAGATAAATATACAGTAGAACCTCTATTAATTAATACTCGATAAATTAATAATCACTATAAATTAATAATTTTTACTGGTTCCAAGTCAGACAGTATAAAAATTGACAAAATTCGATAAGATAGTAAGATAATAATTTTTTTAAAATTTCTATGTAAAAATATGGTCCCAATAATAATATAAATTAATAATACATTTAGGCATATATTAATAATTTAATATAGTAAACTATGATAATATTATTGTTTTAAATTTATAAAATTTGTTTGATTTATCTTTTAAATTCATTATTATGAATTTTTTGATTGAATTTTACATTGTTGAAAATATTGATTTTGTTTTTTATGAATACTAAAAAGTCAAACTAAACATATATATACAAATCAATAAATATTGATTTTATTAATTTATCAATATATTATTAATTATTAATTTATCGATTAATTAATAATTCTATAAATTAATAAAATTTGAGAGTCCCAACATTATTAATTTATAGAGGTTTTATTGTATTAGCTTTCAAAAGTTGAGGCAATCAATCATGACTCGTAGAAAACTAATTGAGTTGAATAATTTCAAATTTGATTACTAACATGTATACATATACTAGTCTAACCAAAACAATAATCATGTATCAATTCATAAAGTGCCAAAAATGCTCGCAGCATGTATTACTACACCTTGTAACACATCTGTCATCTCCCAAACCTTCTCATGCAGGTACTAACTTCTTCCTTCAGAGTCTTGCATGATTTTAACATGTCTGTTGTCTACATTTTTATAGTGTTTTGCTTAAAGCTCAATTGTTAAGTTATCATGACTGTGCAGCATATATCATTCTTAGACAGACGAGTTTTGGGTACATTTTTTGCTGCAGGCAGTTTACAGATGTGTGGAAGTAGGATTGTTTAGATGTACATTAGGATACTCTGTAGCAAGTCCTTGGGGGTTATTTATTATACATGTGATCAGTTAATTGGTTTCTTTACTAGAATTGATTAGGATTTTTTATTCAAAAACGTAAACATTGCAACTGATACGCCACTGCCTCTGAAGTTTTCCTGCTATTCATCTTCACCTCCTTCTTCTTCTTCATCGTCGTCTTCGTCTTCTTCTTCTTCTTCTTCATCAGGACTGTCTTCCTCGTACTGAGTCTAGATTCTGCATCCGAATCCGAGTCCGAGTCCGAATCCGAATCTGAACCTCCTAGGCGGGAATATATTCTCCGAACACGCTCAGGTTCACCTCTCACAAAGTCTTCATCTGCAATTTCCCAATGCTCAGAAGAATCAACTTTCCTAATCCCCTGGGACAACAAAAACAAAGTCGTCTTAATCCAAGCGAAACGTGTATTAATTGATCTATATGCAAAATCCCAAAACACAAACAACTTACATAAATCTTAAGCCGGGCCATGAAACGCGAGAGATCGGTGTGGATATCAAAGGATTTCTTTAAAAGATCTCTGGAAAACTCAGCTGGATCCCAAATGATGAAACTCTTGCCGCTTTGGCTCCACGAGATGATTGAATCCGTTGATGGATCGTCCACTATCTGATATACGCGGCGCACAAACGGATAAAGTCCCGTTCTTTCTGCAACCGACTGACCCACATTTTTTTGTTTCTTCTGTCGGCACCCACTATTCTGCCCAAAGATTATTACAAGATAGGCCTCTTTCTATTTTTGTAATAACGAAATAAGGAAATATTTCCCGCCAGAGCACTTCTTCTATAATATATAGCAGTATCTCTAGCCTACTTTTCTTTATCCTAAGCGATGTGGGACAAAAGTTAAAAACCAGTCGCGTGTTTTGTTTGATTCAGTATCAGCCGCAGGATCCATCTGATACGACACGCGTCACTCTGATATAGCAGCATAAGCATATCCACATAGAGATGTCAATACGGGCTAAGGCCCGCGGGTTCGGCCCAACTAGGCCCAAATAGGCCCACTGTGGGGCGGGCTCGGGCTTTAAAATAAGAATCCGAAAATCGGCGGGTTTCAGCAGCTTGCGCCATGGAATGGAGCATCATCAAGCTCGAGAAAGCTCGTCGTTCTAAAAACCCAGGTGATGAAAATCCTCAATTTTGTTCGATTCTCAATTATGTAGAGCTTGGAAAAATTGAATCTTTAGCTCCACTTGAAAATCTAAGATCTATTTCACTAGATTCAAAATCTCTACTTCGATTCCTGCAATGATTCTAGCAAGCAAAAGCTCCTCATCCATGGCGATTCTCTATTGAGAGGAGGAATTCAGACTCACTGAGATTTTAGGTGAGAAAGCTCTAACCTTATTTTGGAATTCCCGCTGTCTGTTCGTTCTTATCAAAATTCAAAGTGGAACGAGCAAAAGTTAAGGGCAAACTCAACATTTCGAGAGAAAAAAAATTAAAAAATTAGTCTAGAGAGCCTCTTTGGGTATAGACTATAGAGTTTTATTCGTGTGTGTTCGACTCCAGTCTCCAGTGTACAAATTAGATTTTCGACTAGAGTTAAGTAATTTTCTATATTTTTCTCTTATTCTGCCTAGTGCTATTGGCTTTTCTACAAGACCAAAGCATGAAGTTTGGCAAAAACATTAAATGTAAATCTCTACTACGATGATCTATTTCACTAGATCCAAATAATTATGTTCTCGCTGATCTTTCATGTTACGACGGTTGATACCATTCCCCATCATCATCTTAGTCATTTAACCTGTTACTGTTTTGTAACCAAATGATTCTACTAATTGTTTTTTTGGTCAAACTTAAACAAACTAAAAAAGTTTGAGTCATTTCAACTTCTTTTATGAATATCGCAAATAAAAAAGTAGACGTGCGTGTCGACGCCATGTAATGTGTACACGAAGCATGGAAATGTAAATTTTGTATAGGCATTGTGTACTATAAACTTATTGGTTCATTTATTTCTTCACTAAAAATTGTTGGTTCTCTGGTTGACTTGTATGATTTTTTGGTGATGTAACCGGTCAACATAAATAGGTATACAAGAGATAATATAAATGGGAGATAGGTGTGTGTGTGTGTGTGCGAGTCCAAGAATGTACAACCAAATATTCGCTGGTACGTATTGTGTCTCAAGTAACAGCAAACGTAACGTGATCGACTTTACGTTGTTTCAACTCTTTTGCTTCTTCAGAGTTCTTCTCTGTCTTCTCCTTTTTTTTTGTCAATTCCCATCAACTTTCTCGTGACCTTTTTTTTTTACAAAAAGATCTGTGTATTAACATAGTATTTTCTTGTCTCTTTTGTATATACTAACATCCTAGGTATATTCAAGGTTTCTCTAGAGTAAGACTATTAACAATGTTGTTTTCTTAATCACATCTTAGAGAGCATTAGTTATAAGTTTAGCATATTCATTACATGACTTGGGGCTCGACTATGACCAAACTATTGGCGAATAAAATGAAATTTAACTAAAGTGTGTTGGGCTGTGTGTTTATATTATAGGCGTCGTAGGAGCAAGATACACTTTAAAAAAACTCAGGGTTGTTTTGTGACGCTGCATAAAACTAGAGACCAGTTTTGTCAATATGAATTATTTTGTTTTGTTTTTAAACATGGAGCTTTCACAACTCTTCCGAAACTGTTTATACTTCAAATTCGAATCCCTCTCATCAAAACGCTTTAGGCTCAAGCAAAAGCTTTTTGATTCAAAAGTAAGTAACCCCACAAGTTTTGTTTGTCCACTTCACACAATATTATAAGTTTAATCTCAACAAACTAAATCGATTCAAACCAAATTCAATCTATTGATTTAAAGAGTATCACAACGTAATTTAACTACATTGCCACATATTATCAATCAGAAAAATGTACACACTACTAATTTAAAATAAAAATATAGATTAGGTCCTCAAACATCCGTAAGGAAAACAACTTTTCTACCGTGCAATATAAAGTATAAACTATATACGGTCATTGTTAACTTTTTGTTGGTAGATAGAATCATTTGGGGATAAAACTAGATAGAATCTTTACCTTCCATCAATATTATATTCAACATTTCCAATCCGAAAGTAATAGATATATTAGCGTTCAAAAGTTGTGGCAATCATGATGACTCGTAGAAAACTCATTGAGTTGAATAATTTCAATTTTGATTACTATAACATGTATAGATATACTAGTCTAACCAAAACAATAATCATATATCAATTCATAAAGTGCCAAAAGTGCATGCCGCATGCAGCATGTATTACTTCACGCTGTAATAACATTAACCACCAATTAAAAAAAAGAAAATTATAAACAACTTATGATGGTCTAGTTAAAAATCTCTTCCCAATTTTGAGAGATCGTAGTCTGACTTTTTTTTTTTAAAATTATGATTGCAGTAATGCTTAATTATATCTTTTTTATTTCGAAAAGTAAGATGAAAAATAACAGATAAAAATCGAAATAGATAATATGAATGTAAAAAAATATTACATAAAATATTTCCAATAAAATATGAGATAAGAATTTCAGATCACATGAGGAGTTTAAAATGTGGGTAACAAAACGATAGGAGCAAACTAAACTATATATACTCCATTGTACAAATTTTGGGTTAGATCATATCTTTTATAAAAACCTTGGGCAATTAGTAGATTTTGTGAAGCTCTGGGGGGTCTCTATTGTTAATTTAAAACAGTAAATGTTTCGATTTTTTTAATAATTTGTTTTTGTTTAGACTTTTGTCAAATCTCTTCGTCTTTCTTTCTGCCTAGCAAATAGCATCGCTTACGAGAGATAGGCGACGAAAAATTTAAACAGATTCGACCTCGCTCGCTGTCTTCTTCTCTCTCCATAGCCAAATATTACGGGTCGCTTAGGGTTTTTCCTCCGGCAGATCCGATTGTTTCCCGAGAAAATTCCAGATCACAGATCTCTACCGTCGTTTATCTTCGGAATCTCCATTTGGTAATCATTTCTTGTCTTATTTTTGCGGTACTGTAGATTTTTATCGATCTTCGCTCCATTTCTCTGATGCAAGTCCATATGTTGGAATCTATATGTGGAATTGCAGATTCGAAGGAAGTGAAACAAGTTCCAGGTGTAATCGCCCGCTTTCATGTTCTTCGTTGAATCGTAATTCCCTCCTCATTGTGAGTTTCCATCGAAAACTCTGTAATCGGAACCACCATTTTGATTTTCTGTTCATTTTCCTAATATGGAAACCTCTTGGATAATGATTTTGACTCTGGTTTTTTTTTTTGGGATGAAAGAGTTGTTCTACAGATCTCCCAAGTTGGCTCCTCAAAGAAGATCACAGCGCCTCATGGGCGGCCAGATGCAGCAGACTAATGCTGCGGCTGCGACGGCGCTGTACGATGGGGCTCTGCACAATGCAGGACCAACGAATGAGGCAGGTGATGCCGTCATGGCACGGTGGCTCCAGTCTGCTGGTTTGCAGCATCTGGCGTCTCCAGTTGCTTCCACAGGCGTTGATCAGCGTCATCTCCCTAACCTTCTCATGCAGGTACTAACTTCTTCATTCAAGCTCTTGCATTAACTTGCATGTTTTTTATATATCATTCTTAGATAGACAAGTTTTGGGTACATTTTGTGCTGCAGCCAGTTTACAGATGTGTGGAAGTAGGATTGTTTGGATGTACATTAAGATTTTCTGTAGCAAGTCCACATTTGATCAGTTAATGGGTCATTCTTCTCTTTTCATTGGAAAACTTGTTGGGCATAGAAATTTGTGTGGCACCTTCTGGTGTTGATGTCTTTGTGATATCTGTGGTATTGTTTAGGGTTATGGAGCACAAACTGCTGAAGAGAAGCAAAGACTTTTCAAATTAATGAGAAATCTTAATTTGAATGGGGAATCGGCTTCTGAGCCGTATACACCCACCGGTCAAACATCAGCAGCTTTACCCTCTTCGGATGGATTTTATTCACCCGAGTTCAGAGGTGACTTTGGAGCTGGGTTACTGGATCTTCACGCAATGGATGACACGGAGCTGCTATCAGAGGTATGTTTGCAAGGAGAATTTCGATCAAATAAGTTTCCTATTTTTGCCCGTATATAAGCACAGATAGTCAAGAACATCCTTGATGTGAGATCGGAATACCGCTGTTAGTCAATTTAACCATTACTTTTTGTGAAAATGCCATATAGATCTTGCAATTTATATGTGTGAGCAAGTCATTAATGTAGATAAGCTAGTGCAAATTGCAATTAAAAGGGGTTGAGAATGTGCCTGTTGTAAAGGGGTTTTTTTTGGGTGGTATGTTGCATCTTACATTTTCGGCTATCATAGTGATTTGATTATAATAGGCTAATAGCTATCAACTCATTGCCTTTGTGTAAACTAAAATTTCATTCATATTGCAGCATGTGATTTCTGAACCCTTTGAGCCATCACCTTTCATGCCCAGTGTCAATCAAGCATTTGAAGAAGACTTCAATGTGCCGGCCAACCGGCAACAGCGACAAGAGCAGGATGCTGCTGAACCTTCGAGCCCATTTCTCCGGAGTGAAAAAGAAAGTAGTGGAAGAGAGAACAGTGTTGCCAAAATTAAAGTAGTGGTATGACATCTGTTTTGATCTGTTACCTGGTTTTCTATTGCTCGGTTGAAATTTCAAGCAATGGTCATTATTGTTAAACTATTCATTTTTATATATTTAAACAGGTGAGGAAGAGACCCCTAAATAAAAAGGAAACTGCCAGAAAGGAGGACGATATCGTGACCGTATCTGATAATTCTTTGACTGTTCATGAGACCAAGTTGAAGGTTCGTGTGTGTGCTTCATTAAAGATAACGATGACATCCATGATTCAGTTCAACGAGATTAAAGGTCATAGACCCTCTTCATATTAGATTTCTTTTTCTGATATTGAATGAAACTTAATCTTTGTTGGTGCAGGTGGATTTGACTGCTTATGTGGAAAAGCATGAGTTTTGCTTTGATGCTGTTCTGGGTGAGCATGTTTCAAATGACGAGGTAATTTAATAGCCTTGAGTAATTGAAGTCTACTGACAATCCTAGCGGGAGTGCTCAACTGTACTTCAAGATGCGAGATAACATAGATCAGTTTTAAATAAAACACACCTGTGAACTTTAAATTATAGTGCAAGTGCAACAACCCTTATCATCCATTTTACTCCTAGTTTTAGATGCGTTTTAGAGTAGCTGTATTCTCTATTTCTGAAGGCTTTTGCTGTTCCTTCGATCAGGTGTATCGGGTCACGATAGAGCCAATTATTCCCACCATTTTCCAGAGAACCAAAGCCACCTGTTTTGCATATGGTCAAACAGGTACATAATGTACTTTTGATCATGGGAATTATCTTTTAAGGCCACTCTATTTGCAATTTGTCTATTATCCCTAATGCGTTCTACATTTACTCACTAATTTATCTTCATGCTTTTGTGTCCCTGATCAATATTTTCTTTAATTAGGTAGCGGTAAGACATTTACCATGAAACCATTGCCTATACGGGCTGTTCAAGATCTATTGAGGAGGTTGAATCAACCAGTATATCGTGATCAGAAGCTCAAGTTGTGGCTCAGTTATTTTGAGATTTATGGTGGAAAGCTGTACGATCTTCTCTCCGAGAGAAAGTTAGTGTTTCTTTTTCTATTCTCAAGTCTTTTAAAGGTTACATTTGGTGTTATGCTTTATTTTGTTTTGCTTCTGAAAATATACCACTAGACAGCACCTTGTTCAGGCACATTCTAACTCCTTGTCTTCATTTGTATTGTATGCCATTGGACACTATATTATATACACTTATACTCTTTTTTTTTGTATGTCTCCATAGTTTGGTTAATGTTTTCTTGTATTACAATGCATGTGTACAGTTTGCTGACTAATTTAGTTGTTGCTGAGCAGGAAGCTTTGTATGCGAGAAGATGGTAGACAACAAGTTTGCATTGTTGGCCTGCAAGAATACGAAGTCTCGGATGTTCAGATTGTAAAGGATTTTATCGATAAAGGGAGTGCTTCAAGAAGCACAGGATCAACTGGCGCCAATGAGGAATCTTCTAGATCACATGCTATTTTGCAGCTTGTTATCAAGAAGCATGTGGAGGTAAAAGAAACAAGACGAAATAATAATGATAGTAACGAACCAAAAGGGAAAGTTGTGGGAAAGATTTCTTTCATCGATCTTGCTGGCAGTGAAAGAGGTGCAGACACCACAGACAATGATCGCCAAACAAGGTAAGGTCATCTTTGTCCTCTGGTAGAAGAGCTTTGAGCATTGGCCTTCTTGATCTAAACAATACTTTTTGACGATGTTTTGTTTTTAGGATGGAAGGTGCAGAAATCAATAAGAGTCTTTTAGCTCTCAAAGAATGTATCCGTGCGCTGGACAACGACCAGCTACATATTCCATTCCGTGGAAGCAAACTAACTGAAGTGCTCCGTGACTCATTTGTTGGAAACTCAAGAACTGTGATGATTTCATGCATCTCTCCAAACGAAGGATCATGTGAACATACCCTCAATACATTAAGATACGCCGATCGGTACGTTTTGACGAGCTAATTACCTTACCGAAGTAACCCTCGATTTCATCTCTTTAACTCATGTTTGTAATTATACCAATTCAAACAGGGTTAAAAGTCTATCTAAAAGTGGAAATAGCAAGAAGGATCAAACTTTCAACTCGTTAGCCCCAGCTAATAAGGATGTTTCTTTGGCATCGTCTCAACTAGCTTCAAATGATGCAGAAGATGTCTTTGAGCCTCCACAGGAATATAACGTACAGGAGACAGGGAGGAGGGTAGAGAAAGACAGCAACTACTCTAGCTCTGGTATTGAATTCAAGCAGCCTACACATTACCCATCTTCATATCCGGTCAACTATAGAGAGGAAAGTGGAATACCATCAATAACAATGGACAAAGGAAGATCAGATACGAGCAATTCCTTTGGCGGCTCCACTAGTCAAAGGATTTACTCATCTTCTTATGCTCAAGACACTTCGGATCAGGAAGAAAAAGTGAAGAAAGTGTCACCGCCTCGTAGGAAAGTTTCCCGTGAAGAAAAACCAGAAAGACCTCAAAACTGGCCAAAAAGAGATGTCACCAGTGTGTCTGATCTCCCTGCCACGACAAATTTTAGACAGCTCAATAACACTACCACCAGTCAGAACACAAGCGAGGCTTCTTCAAGGCAGTATGAAACAACAACAACGGAGCCTTCTCTTGATGAAAATATCGATGCATTGCTTGAGGTATGATAACACATCTAATTTTTATGATTTTTTTCTCAGGAATACAGCGGTTTTAATCAAATTTATTGGTTTAAATCTCTGACAGGAAGAAGAGGCCTTAATTACAGCGCACAGAAAAGAAATCGAGGATACAATGGAGATTGTTCGTGAGGTACTACTAAGAATCGTTTTGACCTGCTTATTATTATTATTGGCTTATTATGCCTTGTGGGTTGTTTCTCAAACATTATGTTTCGGTTTGAATAGGAAATGAAATTACTAGCGGAAGTTGATCGGCCAGGGAGTATGATCGACAACTATGTGACACAGCTGAGCTTTGTGCTGTCGCGTAAAGCAGCGGGACTCGTAAGCCTTCAAGCCCGTCTTGCTCGGTTCCAACACCGTCTGAAAGAACAAGAGATACTTAGCCGGAAGAGAGTTCCGCGTTAGTTTCGGTTCCAAGTCAGGTGATCTTTTTTATTCCTACTAATACACACAAAAATCTTCCTTTCCTCTCGTGTTTTTGTGAATTGGGGAAAACGTGTTTCTTTTTTCTTCTTTGGTGAGGGGAGAGGGGTTTTAATTTTCTTTATCCTTGTCAACCATTTGTATTCCATGTCTTTTTATTGATAATGAAATGTGAAATTCAAAGTTCTTTATACTGCCATAATAACAGTCGTGTGGAACTCTAATTATAGCAGCTTGTTTCGTTGTATATTTGTAACACATTTGTGTATAATGTACCTGGGAAAAATTGTGCAGAACGTTTGTATATTGATACATTTGCTTACAAAGACAATTTATGTGTGACAAACTTTTTTTCCCTCCCACGAAGATCGATGGGAAATCCAGAGGGTACATTGAGAGAAGTAATAAACCATTTCAGAACAAATTTAATATTCATATATATATATCTTCAGTTAGACTAACCAACAAAAAATATAACACTAGAGATCAAACAAGCTTCATCAACAACTTTATAACAAAAACAAAAAGCTTTGGGATTGGCTCAGTGTTTGCGTTTACCTCTGCTTCTCAAGCTAAGTGCTTCAGTGCCTAAAAGGATTGTAAATTCTAACGTTTAAACAGATCAACAATGGCAATATAGCAATCCTGCGAAGCTTTAATCGCATAGGCCCCCAAGCAACTTTAGTCAGCTCGTAGTCTCAGAATCTCTTTAGCCGTTCTTAGCCGGAAGTATGGCATGTGTTCCTGCACCAAAGCAATAATACAAGACAGAACAATTTTTTTGTATCAAACTGTAGGATATGCAAAGGTTCATAAACTGCTCAAGAGAGATACTTATTCTATAACAGATTCCAAACAACCAGTTTACTTTTTTAATTAACTACAGTTCCTTGAAGCATTGAGGGATCTGGATTCTGATAGCTTACCTGGCTGAAACATAGCCCCAGGTCTCTACTGAAAAAGTCGATGTACTTTAGCATAAACATTCCACAGTCGTACCTGAGGAATATAAATATTGCAACAAAAGGAAAAAGATAAAAAAAATTAGAAATAGCAGAGAGCTAAGAGCAACATTCCACAACGGAAAACAATTAGCTGGTTCTACAGGGAGTGTTTTCAAACAAGATAGTTCCTTTCACATAATCATAAACATAGCAAGTTCACGGATAGTCACGTACCCATTTTGTTGTTGGGGAATGTCTTCGACAAATTCCATGTCCCACGAACTAACATCAATGTTTTTTCCACTTTTTTCCTTAACTTCGTCGCCCAAGTATTTCGCCTGAAGCACACATATCAGTTACAGTATTAGCTATCAGCACCCGTATGGTTAGAAAGTTTTCACAGTAGTGTTTGATCTATTAAAGTAATAACAGCTTCTGGCATCTCCAAAATGTCTATGGACAGATTTTAGAATCAGAAATAATGGTCAAGATAAAGTAACATCTACTATGGCAGACATTCACTTCAGAACCATACTTTGTGTGAATTGAGAAACAGTTTTCTAGATTTTATCCCCACTGCTTTACTTTTATGTATGAGTATGATAAATGAGCCGTATTCGGTATATCAGAAAGATCAAGAATAGTACGTTCATTAGGTCCAATTCCAAAGCATCTGATATCCTTTTAACGACTCCAATACGTCACTGAGCGAGACTTAACAAAGAGAATGAGGGGTGGAAAATAAATTATACCAGAGCATTCAAAATCTTAGAATCAACTCCATTTAGTGAATCGAGATACAAGAATTTGCGATCCCTGTTGTTAATAACTGCCAAGGTCCAATGCACACCCCTGTGGATGGGAACAAATATCTGCAGAGGGCAAAGACTGGCTTAGACATACAGTAACTAAATTAGCCTACACTAGGTATGTAAAATTAACAAAGAGAATCTAAAAATTCCGGTTTTTCGAAAACATTACCATGTCACAGTCGATAAGAGCATATCCCAGCTTTCTCTGCGTAGTCCATCTCCTAACAGCTTTAAAATTATAACCAGAGTCGCTTACCAGCTGAAAGAAACCAATAAGGTAAAGAAAAAAATAAGTCCAAGAGGATTCATTAACATATTAAGGCCATAGCTTATGTTGGGTGCTCATTGCCAATCATCGGATACTGAGGCCAGAGATAAATGAGTACCACGGGGGGGAAACGAGGCACGATATATTGAAGATATTAGAAAAAAAATCTCTAAACATAGTGCTTATCGTTTTCTGGTAGCAAGTAGCAGCTAACAAACGAACTAACACAGGGGATAAAAAATCCATACTGTTCGTAAGAATCATGTGAGCACATAATAGAAAGCAAACCTTTTTGTAGAAAAAGGTATTGAAGAAATGACACTTCAAATACTTTTTGGGCTCTCTAGTTTCTCTTTCTTTGAGTAGTTCAAGGTAGACATTGATAACCTACAAAAGAGAAGAGGAACACATCAGACGAAAAGTATGTTATTTAAGAGCTCTTAACCATGCAAATGAGGAAACAGTAGTACCTCGTCATTTAGCCATGAAGATGGTGTAAGGCATTGTAAAACTTCTCCAGTAATATCAATGTTCGAGTTTTGATGAGTAGCCAAGACCTTTCTCCTGAAAAAGAAGGAACACACATTTGGTTACACTGAGATAAATCACTCAATATGCTAGAGCCTCTTACAGAAACCACCGTACCTATTTCTCCCGGAAAAGGCACGATAAACTTCAGCCTCCTCCTCCTCTGTGAGAGGTATAAACGGTTCATCAGGCACCTTCTGTAGATCAATACCACAACAGCACACACAACAGAAATGTTAACAACAACAGAAGAACGAGTACCAATTGCAGCTTCATGTGCAATGAGACGAACAAGTATTGCATTTGAACCTTCTTAAAGAAAGAACCTAGTGTAACTATTTTCAGTCTATAGGCAATAACATCATAGAGAATCAATCCAAATCGAGAAACGACATTAATGATCTCCAATTCGAGAAAGAAACGTATAAATCGGATCACCTTGACAGGCTTTATCTCCTCCACAGGTTTTGGGCGAGACTGGCGAAGCTGCGACATGCGCTTCTCATGTAACACAATCTGAAACCCCAAAGCTTCCAGCTTCGGATTCCGCCTCTCTGCACTCTGCATTAGCTTTTTATAGGCTTCGAGGCTCGAAGCATCATCAGTCGTCGTCATTTCTCTACCTAAAGACAACGAATCGAGCATCGTGCTAGTGTCATCAACTCTGAAGCTGCTGTTCCCGATTTTAACATCGGGAGTAGAAGAAGAAGAAGGCTGAAGATTCTTCTTCACCTCCATATCATCTACCATTTTTTCCTCATCACAATCGACAACTTCAACTACTTCATCGCTTGAATCTTCAGAAACCGCTTCCTTCTCATTCTCAGGCTCATCGACCAAGTCAATAAACTCTTTATCTCTCTTAAGGAACCTGAGAGCACCCAAAGCTGTTCTCTTGGCATTATCATACTCGCGGAAGAAGAAATTCCCTTTCTCGCAGCAATCGTTAGGTTTTGCTCTCTGTGATCCGTATCTAAGAATTCCTCTGCTTGGGGCGTGGATTTCTCGTCTAAGAGGAGCTTTGGCATCAGGATACCTTGAAATCCTCGAGACTGTGGGGTTTGAAGACGAAGCTGGCTTATTAGAATCATCAGACATATTAGCGAAGGAGAATCTTCGTTTCTTCGGAGCTTGGAAATACGGCGAATGTCGGAGGAATTGGCCGGTTGATTGTTGATTGAAGTTTAGTGATTCTTCGCTGCGCTTTCGATTGATCGCTACGGCACCCATTACAGGGACGAATTCGGCTCAACAGCCACTAAACCTTAGAAACCCTAGAGATTGGGGAATCAAAGAGAGAAGAACCATATGAGAGGGGGATATCGAAATCTAAAACATGAAATTAGGGTTCTGCAAAGAAAAAACAGAAAGGGAAATGGCTAAAAGAAAAACTATTCTTCCGTAAAACTTGAACATTTAATATCCAAATATTTTTTAAATCATTTTAAAATATTGTGCTTATGCCGCCGCTATTACCATCAAACGATCAAAACAGCATTTTAATTTTGTTTACGAAATCACTTTAAAGTTTAAACCGATGAAACTAAATAAAAACATAATCAATTTTTTTTTTTATAATATAATCAATTTTCGTTCAATTCAACCAAAAAAATTTCCTTTTAAATAATTCGCGTTCGTGCTATCTTGTTTACTATTAGAGTTCGTCTTGGACTTCAAGAAAATCAAATAATTCAGTAAATAGAGCAAATCAACAAGAATGTCAAATTTACTTCTCATTATCTTGTTCGTTGTTCCTGCATGTATCATTAATTATCTAATGCTTTTCATGAAGTGTATATTCATATTTTATCATAATAAATAAAAATGCAAGTTACGAGTTAAAAAAACAAAATAAAGAAGCAGCTATCCTGAGATTGTTTTGTCATTTACTTTGTCGCTTGTTGTTACTCTGTTCACTCTTCGTCCTCCATTCTCCACATCTTTCGATGGGTGTTGGTGATGGAAAATCAAATTCATACTCGACTTAAATCAGAGCTGGTTATGCTTGATTAGAGTTGCTGGTTATTACCTCTTTTTGGTTTACAGTTTAGTTAGAAAACCGGATAATCTTTTGTAATTGACTTCAGTATATAGCTGAGGCGTGAACATTTTCTCTTTGATCTGTGAATAGATCTGTAACAGAGAGAGAAGAGAAACTTGTAATCAAGAGAGTGATCTAGTGGATTGTTTGGTTCTCCAGGCTGAGATGTAGGATTTTTTATTCAGAGAATCCGAACTCGTTAAATTTCTGTGTATGTTCTTTCTTTGATTCGTTGTTTTCATTCTTGAGTGATTGTGAGCTTAGAGAAGGTAAATCGAAATACAAAATCGGAGAAAGTTTACTTAGATCAGCGATTCTAAGTACTACAAGTAGTATCAGAGCTTTGTTGAAGCGATGAGCAAAGCAATGACGAAGGTCACAGTCGTCGAGTTCGATAGTATCGAAGACTTCTCGATGTGGAAGAAGAGGATGCTTGCGCATCTGTCACTCATGGGATTAAAATATGTCTTGATCGAGATGATTCCAAAACAAATGCAATAAAGAAAGAGGAAGATCCAGAAGCTTACAAAGATCGGTTACAGCTCGAAGAAATCAACAGGCTAGAGTTAGCTGAAAGAGCCATAAACATGTTGGTTCTGAATCTTTCGGATCAAGTTATGAGAAAGCTGGAAGAGTATACAACGGCGAGTGAGATCTGGGCAGCTCTTGAAAGGTTGTACAATGTGCAAACGTTTCCGAACAGAATCCATCTTCAGCACAAGTTCTACACCTTCAAGATGACGGATACGAAGTCCATTGATCAGAATATCGATGACTTCTTGAAGCTTGTATCAGGATTAAGCAGTGTGAAGGTCGTCGTTACAGAGGAAGTTCAAGCTATCCTGCTATTGAACTCGTTACCAGCTGTGTATAGCTCTCTGAAGGAGACCTTGAAGTACGGAAGAGAGACTCTTACCATTGAGTCGGTCACGAATGCAGCCAAATCCAAGGAGATAGAGCTAAGAGAGGTTAAAGATCTCATCAATGCTCAGAAAGGTGGCGAAGCTCTGGCTGCTCGTGGAAGATCAGAAAGAAGAGAATCTGGTAACAGAAAAGGAAATAGCAGATCTCGATCAAGCTCAGGTTCCAAAGTCACTTGCTGGTACTGCAAGAAGAAGGTTCACAAGAAAGCTGATAGTTTTGCTCGGAAAATGAAGATAGAATCTGATAAGGGTGCTGAAGCAGCCATAGTGATAGACGCATTACAAGACAACAATGCTCTGACGGCTTCAGGAGATTGGCACCAGGGTAGATGGATCATAGACTCAGGATGCTCTTTATCACATGACGTCAAGACGTGACTGGTTTGATGAGTTTGAGGAGGTGACTTCTGGGAAGGTCCTACTCGGAGATGACTTCTCAGTGGAGGTCAAAGGCATCGGCTCTATAAACATCAAAGCATATGGAGGCACAGTCAAAACTTTATCCAACGTTAGGTATGTTCCTAAACTCAAACAAAACCTTCTCTCGACTGGAACAATGAATAGATTAGGCTTTGATCATGCTGGTGGTAATGGTAAAACTAGGTTCTATAAGAACAAGAAACTAGCTCTTCAGGGTACTCTCGTTGGTACTTTGTATTTGTTGGATGGTGAAACTGTAACAGGTGAGTATAAGAATAGTGTCTCGAAGAAGTTGGCAAACGACAAGACAGTTCTATGGCACAAACGCCTATGACATATGAGCCTAAAGAACCTGCAAATCCTAGCTTAGAAAGGGATTATTGATAAGAGGAGGATTGGAGAAATGAGTTCTGTGAGAGTTGTGTGATGGGAAAATAGAAGAAGACAAGTTTTCACATCGGCAAGCATGATATAGGGGAAGCTCTTAAATACATCCACTCAGACCTGTGGGGCTCTCCCAATGTGACACTGAGTATGTCTGGAAAGATGTATTTCTTGTCTATAATAGACGATTACCCAAGGAAGGTGTGGGTATTCTTCTTATCAGCAAAGAATGAAGCATTTGAAAATTTTTGTTGAGTGGAAGAAACTGGTTGAGAATCAAGTCAGTAAGAAGGTGAAGTGTCTAAGGACTGATAACAGCTTGGAGTTCTGCAAAACTGAGTTTGACAGCTTTTGCAAACAGTACAGGATTGGAAGACACAGGACTTGTGCGTATACTCCTCAGCAAAATGGCATAGCTGAGCGTATGAATAGGACCATAATGGAAAAGGTCCGCTGTATACTTGACGAGAGTGGTCTTGAAGAAGTGTTTTGAGCAGAAGCAGTATCTACTGTAGTGTACCAAATCAACAGAAGTCCTTCGTCAGTGATAGACAGCAACATTCCAGAGGAGTTGTGGCTCGGGAAGAAGCCAGGATACAAACATCTAAGAAGGTTCGGGTCTGTAGTCTACGTACATAAGGATCAAAGAAAGCTGAAACCAAGTGCTCTGAAGGGTATTTTCTTGAGCTACCCACCAGGATACAAAGGCTACAAGATTTGGCTTCTAGAAGAGGAGAAGTGTGTAATCACTCGGAATGTAAAATTTGTAGAAGATCAGGTCTACAAAGATTTAAAGGGTAGCCAGTGTGAGAAGACTTCAGAATATGACAAAGGTGGTAACAGTCAAGTCAAAACGGTTATAGAATCACGAGTCAGCTCAGAGAATCAGGAAGAGAACATCGTCTCAGGTGAAGCAGCTGAACCAGGGCCGAGTTATGTCAGTGATTAAGAATTTGATGAAGAAACCTCAGGTGGAGAGACAGCTCCTAGTCCAGTTCAGCGAAGTAGTCATCATGCAGTAAGGGAGAGACTAAACAGAAAGACAGCTCTTCCTGCAAAGTTTAATGACTATGACATGTCTTCTTTCGCGTTCATAGCAGCAGCAGAGATAAGCTCAGAAGATCCTAGAGATTATCAAGAAGCTATGAGGAGCAAAGACAAAGATTTGTGGGATGGAGGCATGGACAAAGAAATGGATTCTCTGGAGAAGAATAAGACGTGAACACTGGTTGAGAGGCCTACTAACAGAAAGGTCATAGGCTGTAAATGAGTTTATAGACTGAAACCAGGGATACCAGGAGTAGAAAAGTCGAGACATAAGGCCAGACTGCTAGCAAAGGGTTACTCCCAGAAGGAAGGAATTGATTACCAACAAGTGTTATCACCTGTTGTGAAACACGTCTCTATTAGGTTCCTGTTGTCCATAACAGTCAACCAGGACCTAGAGCTTGAGCAGCTTGATGTGAAGACTGCCTTTCTTCACGGTCTAATAGAGGAAGAGATCTACATGGAACAGCCAGAGGGTTACAGAGTTAAGGGAAAGGAGAAGCAAGTTTGCTTGTTAGAGAAAGCCCTCTACAGTTTGAAGCAAGCCCCGAGGCAATAGAACAAGTGTTTTGATGAGTATGTGGTCAGTCATGGTTTCAAAAGACGTGAATACGATCACTGTGTTTACATAAAGAAGGGAAAAGGTGGAGCACTCGTCTATCTACTCCTATTTGTAGACGATATGCTTGTGGCTTCAAAGGAAATGGAAGAGGTCAAGCTTGTTAAGGATTTACTAAACAAGCGTTTCGAGATGAAAGATCTAGGTCCAGTAAGTAGGATCTTAAGCATGGACATTCACATAGATAGAATGAATGGTGTCCTGTCTCTTTCTCAGTCTAGATACATGAAGAGGATCCTTCAGGTGTTTAACATGGATGAATCAAAATCAGTTTTGACATCTATCGGCTCTCACTTCAAGTTATCAGCTTTGAAGAACTATGAAGAGGAGACAGTAATGGATTATGTCCCGTATGCTAATGCCATTAGAAGCATTATATATGTGATGATTGGTACTCGTTGTGATCTGGCATATGCAGTGGGTCTGGTCAGCAGGTACATGAGTAAGCTGAGTATGATTCATTGGTTTGCAGTTAAGTGGGTTCTAAGGTACTTGAAAGGAACACAAGACTTGAAGCTGGTTTTCAGAAAGAATGAAGAGTTCAAAGTGGAAGGGTTTTGTGACTCTGATTTTGCATCAGATCTGGACAGAAGATGGTTAATATCAGGCTATGTTTTCATGGTTGGTGGAAATGCAATAAGCTGGAAGTCAAGTCTTCAATATGTTGTTGCTTTGTCTATGACAGAAGCAGAATATATGGCTCTTGTTGAAGCAGTGAAGGAAGGTATCTGGCTAAATGGTTTAGCGGAAGAATTTGGGTTCAAGTAAGAATCAATTGACATCTGGTGTGATTCTCAAAGTGCTATATGTTTGGCAAAGAACAGTGTGCATCACGAGAAAACAAAACATATCAATAGAAAGCTACATTTTATCAGGGATATTGTTGCAGAAGGGGAAGTGAAACTTCAGAAGATCTCCACGTCCAAGAATCCAGCTGATATGTTGATTAAGGTACTTCCAGTGGATAAGTTTGAGAAAGCTTTAAGTTTTCCTGGTTTAGCTCCACACTAGTAGCTTTGGGGCT